TTTTTTCTAAAACAAACAATGCAAAAATTATTCCTTTAATTATCTTTTATGTTTTCACTTTAATGTTATTTCTATTACATTAAAAAGTAATTTTCAAAAGAAAAATGTATGAATATGTATGGACATATTTCATATATGATTATATATGTTTATAAATATTTATACATATTAATGTATACAAAATTTTTTACCGGGAATATAACTTAAATGTATATAATTATAATGTATATCATTATAATTATAATTTGTTGTAATATAATTAAATACAATATAATATAAGTAAGTCCAATGTAATATAATTAAATAACAACGCAAATGTATGCGAATGTTTTGTTGGTCGATCACCCAGTAAATGAAAATGGATTAAAATGGATTGAAATTTTTTTCTATCCGAATGCGTATTTTAAATAATGAATGTTCTTTTTTGGATTTAATTGGATTCAATTAGATTCAATTGGATTCAATTAGATTCAATTGGATTCAATTGGATGCAATTGGATTGAAAAACTGCATTTAAAAAATTTGCTACATTCAACATTTTGAATTGAACAGTATTCACATGCACAGAAAAAGCTAATATTATTTTTAGATTGAAAGGCATATGCTCCATGCATAATCCTATAAATGAATAAAAATGCAGGATTGAAAAGCATTCATTTTAACATTCGTGAATAAATATTTCTGAAAATCTGAATCCATTTCAATTCATTTCAATCCATTCTCGTTTGCTGGGCAGGAATACATGGAGATATTTCAGCGAAAATTATTTTCAGCCGAGAACATTTCTGATACAAATGCTGTGTTTAATTTCGGTATCATGTGCGCGGCAACATTAAAAATGCATTAGCTTTTTGATATTTCATTATATCTTAATGTCGATTTTTTGAGCAATAAGCCCTTGGAAACATCTCTTCCTCTGTTCATTGTACAATCGTCCATGAAAATTTCGGACGCAAATGCAACTCGTAATTATTCATCTATAAAGTTACGACGGCGTCGTATTAATAAATACATCTCTTGCTATATGTGTGATGAGAGAAGATAAGTCTTACGCAAGTCTGCAGAATGATAGGCTCTTTGAAGAAATTGCCATGCATCGTGTTTAGAAGTGGTAGAAGCACTATGTGCGCGACAATGGGAACTGTTGTCGGATTTGCCGACATGCGCAGGAAAAACTTTTTCTTATAATTGTATATGCACGAAGCAAACGTTGTCGATTTTCCTGGTTTCATGTTCAAGAGACCTGAAAGAGAAAGAACAATGCTCAAATAAAGGGACGTGTTACATCAGTAGTATATTACACCGACGATTAATATATAAGGAGGAAGGACATACTGAAATGTATCATAGCGTTAAAATATTCCCTTAAAATTGATTTTAATATATCTTTGTTGTTTGAATGGCCCATTATTACAAGTACATCTACTTTGTCCAAAGCGTCTTCGATTCTTTTTCTTATTGCGTTCAATCTGGAAGAACATGATCGTTAAATTAAGAGCTACAACGATATTAATTTTTCGACGATATTATAAATCAAATCGTGTATTATAGTAGTTAGAGGAACAATGAATTTTAAATGCACTTGTAAGCAGAAATTCCGAAGTCGATGGGATTGTATCCATTCTTTTTTAATAATGAGGTCAGAGTTACTCTATTGCTTTCATAGATTCGTCCTAAAGTTAAATTTTCAGGTTCTTCCAATTCGCTACTGATAGGTAGCAGACCTATAGATGGAAGTTCAGTGACTGGAATTATATCGAGGCTACATAATGTCAAAATACCCAATTCCGCTTGTCCGAGACAAGTGAACTTTGGTACAATGAGTTGAGAACACTTTATTTCGTTTCTAGCGTTTCTTTAACAATTGTTTTGTGATAATAAAACAAATCATGTTTTAAGAGGTGTATTAAATGACATCGAACTATTTTCGTCGTATACCTGATGTTCTTATTTATTTCTGGGGCAACCAAGATTCTGGGGCAACTCAATTTCGTATTCCTTGTCGATATTAAAATAATCGTCCTCATTATCGTCCAATACCTTTATATTCTCTGGCGTTATAATCGTATTTGCTCCTGCAATCGCGCATAAAAGAATCGCAATAATAAATTCTTTACTGTAATTAAGCAAGCTTAATTTACAGTTGTAATTATTTTTATCATTTTTATCATTGGGATCTCCACTTCTTACACGTACGCAGGTATGACAAAAATTTTATCATAGTGAAAAAAGATGATTTTGTAAAAATCTAGCTTCGTTGTTTGAATTCCGACTAATTTAATCAATTAATAATTTAATAGATAGAATTATTATTTCCACACAATTCACTTCTCGTGATCTCTAATTCACTTTTATTCTTTCTAGATAATGTAAAAAAATTAAGAATCCCACCCACGTGCTATAATATAATAAACGAAATCATGCTAACCATCATGCATTAAACAGATTTTGGCTGCCCTTTCCGTGACTTGTGCTTTCAACACTTTCCTTACATCTTTCCCATCGTTGGCCAACACCACGTATCCATGTTTAGTGGAAGTCTTGTAAGACGGCATGTTTACGGGGGAATGTACATTTTTAACCATTATTCTGCCATAGGCGTCATTTGTTTTCATTTTTTCTCTTATATAGTCATTAGTATCACGTATCGTAATCTGTATTATACGTATTGCTTCTTTCGATATTATAACATTTTGCTTTTGTTTCTTATAATAATAAATTCTCTTCCTGTAAAGAAAATCAGTTACTATTTGCATATACGCAGCCTCGCAAAAATTTATTTTATTGCTTGCGAATGTGGAAAATATTTTACCATTTCTTCTTTGGAAATATTATATAAAGTTAAGTTATCATAACTGTCATCAGTATCGTTTATAACTCATTAGAACTACATTCATTAGAACTATCACGATTCGTTTCATATTCGTTAAGCATCAAATACTGTATTTCTTTTATCACTTCATGATTTTTCTTCAAACTTATCATTGCGGTTGCATAGGAGCCGCACATATTGATGATAAATGTTTGCTTTAGTATACCACATATAAATCTAAGAACTATTGATACTATAAAACTATAATATTAAAAATTGCAAAATAATTGAAAATTTTATCGATTAAATAAGTGCGTTAGTCTTCATTTCTTTTTTCCATTAGCTTTGATATCCATATATTTATATTTTCCGAGATATTTTTATCAATAATTTCTTCAATTATCTTATATGTAACATCACTCAACGACAAGAAAGCCATAGTATTGCCCATTAAAATAATATCATCTTCATTTTTATCACATAAAGAAATTAATTGCTTCTATATATATAAAACATAAATTATACAAATTATACAAATTTATGTATTTATGCGTGCTGCGAAAAAGATACTTAAAAATTTATCTATAAAAATTACCTTTATTTTTTGTTTGTCACACTTCGAAACTTTGATAGAATGCAGTTGTCTTATACACTTAATAGCGAAGGGATTTGAGTATTTAATGAGTCATTATTATTGTTTTCCATTACTATATAAGCACACACAATTAAAATATAAAATTATTATAATATTTTTAAGAGATATACACGATGTCATGTGTATGTTAATATTATTAATATACAAAAAAAATTATTAATAATCAAAGATACTCGAAGATAAGACGTGTGTATGCGTGCGTGCGTGCGCGACATATTTGTCATCACGCATAAAGAAATCGACTTTAAATTGTCAAAGAGTTTGTTACTAAAAACAATTCAATCGAGTTAGTTTTGAGAAAAGTTCGTATTTTGTGTATTAAAATATCGATCAGTATATCAAATATTTTTCGTTTTTATCAGAATGATATTAAAAAATTATTTTGTGAAATAATAAATTAGTTGCAGATTTATCTCGTGGATAAGTTATTATGTTTTAATTTATGTACATAATTTAATCAATAATATAGTATATCGAAGCGTTGCGTATGAAAAATCATTCTACAGTTCCTTTTAATTACAGTTTCTTTTAATTAATTTTTCTCATTATAAATTGCTATCTTTTTGTTCATATTATCAATTTGAAGACATTGTCTCAATAAATCTTTAATATTTTTCTTTTATTGAAATTATATTCAGAAGTATGCACATGCATTTTCTTATAGCTTATATTAGGTATAGTAAAAAGAAATCCATTATTTTTCCATTCAATTTTATGCAAAAATAATGGATTTCTTTTTACTACAATATATAATATATATAATGTGAAATTATAAAATGGTATAGGGATCGGACCGTGCGGTAGTAAAACTTTTATGATTACAAAGTTGCATTATTTTCAATTTTTATATTTTAATTATCGTAAATCAAGTTGGTACAGGACGTGTGATAGAATTTATTTAATAAAAAGGTTAGTTCCACTTTGGGACTATCTACAAGAAGGATCGGTTATAAAGTTTTTAATGTAAATAAAAGGTACCTGCTCTCCGTTGTCGTATCCTTTATCCTCTCAATGCGACATTGAAATCGCACATGCACACTCACACTTTTAATTACAATAGTTAATTGCTTGAAAAAATATATTTTAATCCTTAACCAGCACAATGGGTCCTTAAGCGAGTAGTTCTAAAAGCGACTTACATCTAGTTACAACAGCAGCGACGAATTATGGATATATTAAGATATGCTATTAATCAAGAATGTTGCTTGGTTAAGCTGATTATTAGCTGATCTCTCATCGAATCTTTCTTATTCATCTTTTGTTTCTATTTTCCTCTAATTTAAAAATATGTAATTATATTTTCAAAGTTTTTGAATTCTTGTATTCCCCTTGGGATCGTAAAAAAATCTATTCGAGTAAATATATGAGATTAATATTTATGTTTCTCTCGCGCTCTCTCTCTCTCTCTCTCTCTCTCTCTCTCTCTCTCTCTCTCTCTCTCTCTCTTTTTCCCTCTCTTTTTCTCTATCTTCGTTCCAAGTGTTATAATTAAAACAAATAAATTATGAAAATATATTTTTTTCTGTACATGTTTTTATGTGTGTAATCACCACGTTCTCTTATATTCAAAATCTCAATTTAATGAATTTAGCAAGGATCCAATGAGGGATTCAAGAGTTAATTATCCGTGACCTCGCCATATCAAATGCATAACTTTACCATACTGATTAAGGATTAATGATCGGGTTTCTGCTCTTGTTGTTGATTACAACGGAACGTGCAATACGATATGTTCGTAAACCGAGAATGAATCGGATTGCATATATAGAGTACAGATATGTACATATCTGCCATTCTACCAAGAACATTAAAGCTAAAACTCCTAAAGTTAGATTCGATAAAATCACAGGTTTAGAATTTATAATGTGTCACGAATTGACAGACTTCAACTCTATATTTTTATTGTGTTCACGGAGTAATTACACTAAGATGCCCTTCTTTCTTAATCTCAGTCGTAAGCATAATTACGGTGAGGATTCTGTTTCTTCTTCTTTTTTCTTTTTTTCTTTTTTCCCGATCTGATAAGTGTAGAGAGATATTTACATGCAAATATACATCAAATTGGAGGAATGAGAATATAGTTACGTGCGTTTCTCAGCCGCGTCGTCGTTTTCGAGGATAGGAAAAACCGATAGCATCGTTGTCGCGTGGATGATCGTAATGATCGTCGTTGATCACGCACTACGTTGATAAAATTTGATAAAATTCTTTAGGCATTTAGGTGCATCGATGATGGAGGGTGCGCATGTATACAAAGATCTGCAGATCTTAGAGGGAATGATTTACTAGACGCTTCATTTTATTAGGAAAATATCAGATTGAAACGAAAGTTCATAGCGCTATGAATTTTTGTTTCAATTCAATAATTTCATAATTCAGTTAAAAAATACCGTTTTACTTTTTGTGAAGACCGTAAGAATTCTCGATTAATTGCGAGATTCCTATTTTTCTCTCTATTATCCTATTATAGAATATTAATATTTTAATATTAATATTTTCTGAAGACAATCACTATGTCACTTGAAAGATAATTTACATGCTAATACTTGATTGATAACGGCGACGTTATCTATATAGACTGAATTGCCTATGATAACCGAATATCCTTTAGTCACACTCATGGAGCTTTTGATTAAGGAAAGCTGAGATAGCTGAGAATATCAAGGAAATACACACAGAGCTTTTCGTTTTCATCCGCACCCTCGATCAAACAA